GTGGCAAGAGGAATCAAATCACGAGAAAGACACAACACATCACGCAGAAAACCCTGAAGAATTATCACTGCACCCGCCTGAGGAATGTTCTGATTATGGAGACATATGAGACACATGGAAGGAGTCTCCACTGCCCCCCCCCCCCTGTCAACGCCTTTGAGGATACTCCGTTCACCCTTTCACCCTCGCCCACCCTCCTGGAGATCGATGAACACACAAAGGAGATACAGAGGGTTGGCACCGATTCCTTCCTGGAGTTCAAAGACCAACGAAGGCGATACGCAGGGCTGGCACCATGTCCTTTACCCCCGCTCCTCAACGACGCCCCCACCAAAATCACCGCGGAGACGCGAACCATCTCCCCCGTCCTCATCACCGCGCCTACGTCAACCACCTCCCCCCCCTGGCAGCATGTCCTCTACCCCTGCACCATCTAGCCCGTCTCCATCACCGTGCCTACGTCGACCACCTCCCCTCCTTTCGAGGGGCATCTGCCAGTCCTCCGAAGGCCTGATAAGGATGTGTGTGTACAAAACACAACAACTCTTACTGATATGTGATGGGTCCAGGCTCAAGGGCGTATGGCACTCTCAACTCTTTCCAGGACATGTCGGGGCCCTGCCTGCCAGTAGCTTTTGCCGATATCTGTGTTGATAGGTAATAGATTAAGAGCGGTGAATCATAGAAACAGGAAGCGCTCAAACGTTTGTGTGAGTGTATCTAATTAGCAGTGATTCCATGTCAGCCACAGCTTGTTACAAAAAAACATGACTGATAGTGTGTTTAACAAACTTAAACTAGCTTTATTAAATGTCAGGTCTTTGGCAGGAAAAACATTTTTAATCAATGATTTAATCACTGAGCACAATCTCGATTTTATGTTTTAACAGAAACTTGGATTGAACAAAATAACAGTGCAGCTGTTCTTATCGAATCAACCCCTCCCAACTTTAGTTTTATGAGTCAGGAAAGAATGCATAAGAAAGGGGGTGGAGTTGCTATTCTGTTCAATGATTCCCTTCAATGCAGGAAGACAATCGTATGGAAACTTTGATTCTTTTGAATATGTGCCCTTCGGCTGAAATGCTCCTCTCGAGCTCTGTTCCTAAATATCTATAGACCACCCAAATACTGTGCAAGCTTTTTGATGACTTTACTGAACTGCTGTCTATAGTGTGTATTGACTTTGACCGTCTTGTCATTGTTGGTGATTTTAACATCCATGTTGACAACCCCCAGGACAGAGGGGCTAAAGAACTGTTTTGTGTTCTTGATAGCTATGGACTGACTCAGCATGTGACGGAGCCCACGCACAATAAGGGGCACACTCTGGACTTAATTATCTCAAAGGGTCTGAATATCTCTAAGGTTGTGGTGACTGATGTTGCACTCTGACCATTCCTGTGTTTTCTTTGAGAGCTCTATTTCTGTTCACAAAAATGTTCAAAAAGAGGTAATCACAAAGCGATATTTAACTGAAAATACTAGGGAAATATTTACTCAGAATTTCTCTTCCACACTTGCCCCTGCCAACATCTCAGTAAATGAGCTAGTAGATCATTTTAATTCAAAAATTAAAAATGTTATAGATGCCATTGCTCCAACTAAGGTAAAGGAAGTGTCTGGCAAGAAAATATCTCCATGGAGAAAGGCCATGACCGTGAAAACAGAAAAAAGAGAATGTCGAAAGCTGAACGCAGGTGGCGAAAAACAAATCTCCAGGTTCACTTTGAAATCTATAAAGAGAGACTTGGCCTTTATAATTTGGAATTGAAAAACGCACGACAATCGTTCTTCTCTGACATCATTATCAAAAACAAAAACAACGCACGTGCCTTGTTTGCTACCGTCGAAAGACTAACTAACCCCCCAGTGTCAGTAGCCTCTGAATTTCTATCCACCAGGGCGTGCAATGATTTTGCCATCCTTTTTCACTGACAAAATTCAGAAAATCAGACAAGCAGTCAGTGCCTCTGCATCAGGAACAGCAAATGTGTTGTCCCTATCTCCACTTAACATCAATTCAGACATCTGACACAATTCCATCAGATTAATGATAAAAACCTAGAGGACATTATTCAACTTCTGAAATCCTCCTCTTTCTGCCTTGATATTATTCCAACAGGATTTTTCAAAGATGTTTTGCCTTGCATGGCCTCAGATCTACTTCATATAGTAAACAAATCTCTTCACTCAGGTATTTTTCCACAGGCCCTGAAAACTGCAGTCATTAAACCGCTCTTAAAAAAGAATAATCTAGATGCTTCAGTAATGAACAATTACAGGCCCAAATCAAACCTGCCATTTCTAGGTAAAATCATTGAAAAAGTTTGTTTTCAACAGTTGAGTAATTTCTTGCATTTAAATAACTGTTTTGATGTGTTCCAGTCAGGCTTTCGTCCAAACCACAGCACTGAGACTGCTCTTGTAAAGGTCTTTAATGACATCCACTTAAACACAGACAGTGGCAGAACTTCAGTGTTAGTATTATTAGATCTCAGTGCTGCGTTTGACACTGTTGACCACAGCATATTACTAGACCGACTGGAAAACTGGGTGGGACTTTCGGAAACAGTTCTGAATTGGTTTGAATCCTACTTAAAGGACAGAAACAACTTTGTTTCTATAGGTAAATACACATCTGAGTTGACAAATATGACATGTGGGGTTCCTCAAGGCTCCATCTTGGGGCCTCTTCTCTTTACCATAGCTATGCAGATGACACACAAATTTACGTAACAATTTCACCAGGAGACTATGCTCCAATTCAAACACTGAGTAAGTGCATTGAACAAATCAATGACTGGATGTGTCAGAACTTTCTCCAATTAAACAAAGATAAAACTGACGGGTAATGGTTTTTGGAGCCAAGTCAGAACGTATAAAGTTAGCGCTGAGATTCAGTGTGCAATGTTCAAAACAACAGATAAAGCCAGAAATCTAGGTGTAGTCATGGACTCTGACCTGAGTTTCAACAGTCACATTAAACTGTTACTAAATCAGCCTACTATCACCTAAAGAATATATCTAGGATTAAAAGACTAATGTCACAGCAGGATTTGGAAAAACTTGTCCATGCTTTTATCTTCAGTAGACTGGACTACTGCATTGGTGTCTGTGCAGGTCTCACTAAAAAATCTATTAGGAAGCTGCAGCTAATTCAGAACGCTGCTGCTCGAGTCCTCACTAACACTAAGAAAGTGGATCACATCGCTCCAGTTCTCGAAGTCTTTACACTGGCTTCCTGTGTGTCAAAGAATAGATTTCAAAATACTGCTGCTGGTTTATAAAGCACTGAATGGTTTAGGCCCAAAATACATTTTCTGACCTCCTGCTAAATATGAAACCATCCAGATCCTCTTCAGGTCTTCAGGGACTGGTCAGCTTTCTGTCCCTAGAGTCAGAACTAAACATGGTAAAGCAGCGTTCAGTTATTATGCTCCAATATCTGGAACAAACTCCCAGAAACCTGCTAGGTCCGCTGCAACTCTGACTACTTTTAAATCCAGGCTGAAGACTTTTCTTTTGTCGCCTGCTTTTAATTGAACTATTCATATCTTAGACTGCACCGTAACTTTTATCCCATGTATTTTTTCTTTTAATGTTTATTTTATTAGCTTTTCTTTTTAATGACTGATTTTAAATGCCATTTTCTTAATCTCTTTCATTTTTTGTAAGCACTTTGAATTGCCTTGTGTTGAAAAGTGCTATATAAATAAACTTGCCTTGCCTTGCCTTGCCTTGCCTTGCCTTGCCTTGCCTTGCCTTGCCTTGCCTTGCCTAAAGATAAAAGAGGACCAGCCCCTTGAATATAAGACAGATCATAATCTGTGCAAGGACAAAACAGCTGGGTGCAGTAAAATCCAATCATCCAAATAGAATGTTAAGCAACAGGTTTCTAGATATAACAGTGGTTTGAATGAGCTTTTAAAGGGATGGCCATCCTCACATAGAGCAGATAAACATTACTCATCAGATCATCTACGACTCTTTTCAGAGCCCTGCTTTGTGTGGATATAATGAAAAAATATTTTTAATATATTTGTGTTGACCAACCTATAATCATTTTGCTAAACAATGGCTATACAACTTTATCTTAATTCAATATTGAATCAGTGTACTGGAGGCACACAATGTGTTTACTTTAGCCATAATTACAAAAGCCTTTTCAGCGTGTATTGTGCTCCACTACATTTATTCAACACTCATATTACCTTTTACATATAGAAACACACAGTAATATAATAAGCTAAATAAGCTAAGTTAAGTATGATGTAGAAACTGTACTAGTGATCAAACCACTATTTAACAAAGTATATACAATTGACTACACAGTAAAATGCTCTCACATGTTTTTGTTAGTAATAAAAGATAGAATAATCTATTATAATAGTGTCAAAAGAGCCATCTGCATACTGAGTACTATCTTTTGATGTATTAAGTACATTGTAACCCTTTTATGTGATAATACTTTTGTACTTGACTGAAGTAACATTGTTCAACTTAGGACTTTTACTTCATAATGGAGTTGTATTAACTTAGGTAAAGTATCAAATGGTTTTTTCAATAAATGCTGTAGAAAGTAATATTTATTCAACTCCAGACCAAATAAACATTTGGCTGTTCTGAATTAGAGTTAATCCCCTTCTGTTTGTGAACGCGTGAAAACTTGCTTATCTCTTCTTCTTATCCATAAACAAATAAGAATTCAACAAAAAACAACTGCACGAAAACAAACAGTGTTACGATGACACCACATATTTCCCCACAGAAATAAGTACATGTCCTGTCTAAGAACAATGTCACTTGACAGGTTCTCTAAATATATGAAACCTAAAAAGTAGCATGCATGAACTATTAAAGGTATGGCCACACCTTAGAGGGGATAAGCATTACTCATCAGATCATCTACGTCTCCGTTCACCGCCTGATGTCATCTCACCTGCTTTGTGAGGATATAAAAGCTGCTGTGTGTTTCATCAGAGATCACCAAGCAGCAGAGGGTAGAGAAAGCTGATCAGAGAAGACACCTGAACGCCTCACAATACAAAAGTAAGTGTTTAATGCTGAATTTATTATTTAATTACTGAAAAACTGAAACGATGACTTTAATTAAATCTATCATGTCAAGAGATTTCACATGACTGTATTAGGTTGGTTGAAAGCAATAATATAACGTTTAGGTACAATTAAGTAAAAATTGGTTTGGTTCAACTTGATATTTTACTTTTATTTGAACTAACCTAATACAGTTGTGAGGAATTTAGCGTTTTAGAATAGGACTCTGAATATAAGAAGAGACCATAACAAATGTAGTTAATGAAGCAAGTAGTTGCCTTTACTTAATGGAATCTAACTAAAATCATGTCTTTTTTTGACAGCATAACACTTTGCCATAATGATGATGATGATGATGAAGATCTGTGTCGTCTTTCTGCTGTGTGTTGGTAAGTTTGAGTAATTAACGCACAGAAATTCACAAACAATGAGTTTAAAATGAAGAATCACAATCTGAATGTTATACTGATCATCCAAAACATCTCAACAGCCTCAGGCATCGCACAGACAACCACAGTGGCCCCTGCAGCAGTTACCACAGTGGCCCCTGCAGCAGTTACCACAATGGCCCCAGCAGCAGTTACCACAATGGCCCCAGCAGCAGTTACCACAATGGCCCCTGCAGCAGTTACCACAGTGGCCCCAGCAGCAGTTACCACAGTGGCCCCCGCAGCAGTTACCACAATGGCCCCTGCAGCAGTTACCACAGTGGCCCCAGCAGCAGTTACCACAGTGGCCCCTGCAGCAGTTACCACACGTGGCCCCAGCAGCAGTTACCACAGTGGCCCTGCAGCAGTTACCACAGTGGCCCCTGTAGCAGTTACCCACAGTGGCCCCAGCCAGCAGTTTACCACAGTGCCCTGCAGCAGTTACCACAGTGGCCCCTGCAGCAGTTACCACAGTGGCCCCAGCAGCAGTTACCACAGTGGCCCCAGCAGCAGTTACCACAGTGGCCCCTGCATGCAGTTACCACAGTGGCCCCAGCAGCAGTTACCAACAGTGGGCCCCAGCAGCAGTTACCACAATGGCCCCTGCAGCAGTTACCACAGTGGCTCCTGCAGCAGTAACCACAGTGGCCCCTGCAGCAGTTACCACAATGGCCCCTGCAGCAGTTACCACAGTGGCCCCAGCAGCAGTTACCACAGTGGCCCCTGCAGCAAAGACCACATTGGCCCCTGCCAAAACAACAATGGCTCCAGTCAAAACCACAATGGCCCAAGGAGTGATCCCTGTGGCCCCTGCAGCTGCCACGGCGGCCTCCTCTGCAGCGGTCATCAGAACCTGCTTCCTGTCAGTGGTTGCAGCTCTCACTGCGGCTTTGAGTTAAGAACTGGAACAAGAGACTCAAAACACACACTGAGTATTTATGAAGGATTTAACTTAACCTGTAATGTATTATTCATTGTTTCATAATTGATCATATACCTAAGTGGATGTCTTGCATTTGAGCATTCTTTGACTGATCTTGCTCTAAACACACATGTATTTTATAACAGACCTTATTATGCACTGATTGACTTTAAAGTTTTAAATTCAAAGAACGGAAGTGTACCTCTTTTTTTTAATGCAGGATGATAGTTGTTTGTCATAAAAAAAGCGTGTTGTACCTGTATAATGGCATTGCGTGAAACACTTGATATGTTTTAGTTTAGGCTACAGAGAAGTGTCATGAACAGATTGTCTCCATGTTCAATGCCGTACCAAAGCTGTGTCTGACAGATCAATAAGTATAGGAGGCATGTTGCGCAGTGGGTTGTGCGTAGGTGTTGGGATCAGGGGGTCACAGGTTCAAACCTGAAGAAAACCTTTTGCTTTTGGCTAAAATATATAACTATATCAACAAAATCACCCGCTACATCTAGAACATGTGAGTGATACAAGATCAATCTTTATTGTACCACAGGGTGGGACATATGTCTTGGGCTGATGATTCAGCCATAAAAAAATAAACAATTTGTGGTTATGTACCTGCCCAAGGACACTTGTTGACTGTAAGAGCTGGGGGTCAAACTACAGACTCCTAGTAGACATAGTCTCTGCACATGTTTCATAGACTCCTACATATTTGGATTATAACCATCTGGCCATCAGAGAGAATGCAAGGTCCTTACGCAATGGTTTCCCTTTTAAGGCCCAGAGGCTGCCATTTTGTGGTCTATTTAACCGAGGGCGGGGTTGAGCCACACACACTTTATTCGACAATGGCACCTTTTTAATAAGGTCTGTGCTTTCACACAATATATGGCAGGGTGGGGTAGAGGTGTGGTGGTGTATATATGTAAGCTGATACATAACTGGTTATGTATGTAGAACATTACATTTGATTCCTCTGAGTCACTGCTCTGTCCCTGTAACGCTGTTCCCTCACTTCATTCAATATCTGGTTGAGTGTGGAAGGAGGGGCCAACTTTGAATGTTATTAGGAGCCACTGACAAATTCCTCAAGTCTACCTTTAATTACATCCTAGTAAGTATCCTAGTAGCCCATTTAACCCCCAAAGCACAGCCACCCCTTTAAAAACCTTTAATTCTAAGCTAAAGATACACTGATTTGAGATGTTTTATATCATCACTCACAATTCTGAATCTGACAGATACTGAACAAGGGAAGAGGAAACTTTTCATCCCATTTTAAGTTTTGCCTGCAGATTTCAGTAAGGAAGTACATTTGAAATATTCTGATGACTCAAATAATACCAGTACAATAGTAACAAAGAACAGTAATCAAAGCTAACAAAACTCAAGATCCTGGTCCGTCAGTTTAAAATGTGAAATGTCATATCAGAAAATTGTTACAGTAATTTGTAAGATATGTTAAGACATTATCAATCCATCAATCAATGTTTATTTATATAGCCCAATATCACAAATGTACATTTGTCTCAGTGGACTTCACAGTTTGTACAGAATATCAGTATGACAATACGACACCCTCTGTCCTTAGACCTCTCGTCCTTAGACCCTCTGTCCTTAGACTCTCACATCGTACAAGGAAAAACTTCTGGAGAAAAGCCCACAGTTTAAGGGGAACATGGGAGAAGAAACCTCAGGAGAGCAACAGAGGAGGGATCCCTCTCCCAGGACGGACAGACGTGCAATAGATGCCGTGTGTAAATTGAAAAGATATAATACATTTGCAACATAGGGTAGTCTAAATGTTTGGAAATGGCATGTGGTCTGTAATAGGAGATGAATCCACGGAGGATATCCATCCAGGCGCGTCTATCGTTTTTCCAACCCAGTTTTAGATTTAACCACGCCCACTTCCGCATTACGCAAGGATCAACGTAGCTCTACGCGATAGCGTCATAGACTTCTTCTTCTGCAGTTTAGCGGTCGCGGTAAAGCAGGATATTGAATAGTTGTTTTCTGTCTTTCCAAAGGATTTGTTTGATCCTGTAATCAAAGCCATATCGAAGAGTCCTGAGATTGTATTACTGTCTGTACTGTAATTAACATTACCTCAGCAACTGCATAAGTGTGGTCGTCAGTCATATTGACAAAGAAGCACTAATTATATTGTATATTGTATAATTATTATGCGGCGTTTAAAGGACGGTATTTCGCTTGTCAGATTCAGATTTTGCGAGGTGTGCCGCGTCTATGACGCTATAGCGTAGAGGTATGTCGATCCTTGCGTAATGCGGAAGTGGGCGTGGTTAAATCTAAACTGGGTTGGAAAAACGATAGACGCATCCAGGACCTATGATCACAGGACCACAGCAACAGGCACAGCCACGACTCAGGAATCCCGCCGTAGATAGACACCAAAAAGAAAGACATTTGGGGAAGCTGGGTAAATAAACAAAGTCTTGCGCTTCAGATATGAAACTTTATTTCCAAAATCACACGATATATACATTTTTGAAGCTTGTAAAGGGAAGAAGACAGCTCTCCACTCGCCACTCTGCTGCTCCCCTCCCTCCGCTGAAATTATGAATGTAAGGCGTATAGTAATCATAGGCGGCGCGTGAGGCTCAGGTTGGGAAGGCTAAATCACTTTTTTTTTACCATGACGCTGCGCGCCTCCGGCGTCTATAGAAAAAGAGATCAACTTTCAGTGAAAGCACCGCCTGCTGACCAATCAGAGCTCAGTGTGGGGAGTTTAAATATCTCAAGTCATATTACAGGATAAAGGAAATACAGTTTAAACTGCCGTATGCTAGAAGACGCCGACCAGTTGTTCTGTAATTCTCCTTGCAGGTGCAACTATGTGGCTTGTATCCTGGATTATATGTTTACGTCAGGGATGGTTAAAGTTCATATTTGTCTAATAATAGTTTTACTTTCATTAATGAAGTAGGACGCTGTGCCGTCTTTGTCCCCCGTTTGTGATTGGTCAAATGTTGCTAACCCCGCCCCTGTCATGGAATGCGCTCTCAGCTTGGAGGAGAGAGAAACCCTGGCTTGATTTACCGAGTTGATAACCAGCGTCGTAGGACCGCTTAGCGAGATCTCGTTTGTTAGGGTTAGTTAGATAACTCAAACATATCCAGGGTTCTGTTGAAACTGGCTTCGTAGTACAGGGCACAGGTGGCTGCATAGCAGCGCTAATGTCAAAGACACAAACATTATACATCACATTTTTATTTTACCAGAATGCAGTGGCACAAATATTTGGGAAGGCTTAGCCCTTCCCTAGCCTACAGTAACCCGCCGCCCCTGATAGTAATCATAGATAACACGGCAGGGTCCGTTAGTTTGTTTTCATCTGGTTTCAAATAAACAAAGTCTTGGCTTTCAGAATATTAACTTGTTTCGGCAAATTCAGATGATAAATACAACTTCTTCGCTTGTAACGGCCATAATTACAAGCGGAGAACGGAGTAACTTGACGTCACAGCAGGCATAACAACAGCCGGTGTTTTCTCGTGAGTGTTTTCCCCGGGAGGAAACAAACACAATACACACAAACGCAAAATTACACAAACACACACACACGGTGAGCTACCCCCCAGACCAGTAATCCAAGGAAAATATCTTCCCTCCGTAGTATTTGATCATTTGCTCCGCTAATCAATCAGATCGATGGATTCCAGAGATTTTTCTCAAAAATGATGACTCTGAAAACAGTCAGTGGGCACCACTTAACAGCCAATCAGAATGAGAATATGTTTCACATGTGACTTATTCAAATTCCGAGTGATTGAGTGACAGATGAAGGTTGTTTAGGAGAAAATGTCGGAGAAGAAAAAGTTTGAGAGTGGCGCTCGGGAAAGGAAATTGTTGAGGGAAAAAGGAGTTTCGAGACAAGCAGCTATTACAAAACATGCCGAAGCTTACAGGTTATTTTAAACCTGTAGGCTTCGGCATTCCAGGATGAGGAGGAAGGACAGATGAGTTCTGTACCGAGCGGCAGCGGTGCCGGCCGCGGGGCCTCGGAGCCAAGTAGACCGTCTGGTTCTGATAGCGATGGAGTAGCGAGAGAGGAAAAAGAGACAGGAGGGATGTTGGAGGAGATAGAGAGGACGACGAGGACTTGCTACGTGGAGGGGAGCCAACGGCAACCGGACAAATACATGAGGGAGGCCCGATACGTCACTCATCTGGAGGAGAGGACCAGGCGCGCGTAGAGCAGAGTGGAGAAGTGCGATCACAGAGCCTGCCGAGGCTATAAATGACTTTGATTTGTTGTTTAAATAGGGGGCCTACAAAATCAGCCCCAGGGCCTGATGGCAGGTTAAGGCGGGCTTGCGCACAAAGGTGGAGCTTCTGGTCTGAGGGGAACGCTGGGATAATACTGCCCCCACTCCAGAATCAGAGGCATCCACCTCCACCACAAACTGGACCCATGGATCAGAATGAGAGAGCACAGGAGCAGTGGAAAACAAACATTTCAGTCTTACAAAAGCTGCCTCAGCTGCAGGAGACCACTCAAAAGGCAACTTGACAGAGGTTAGTTTAGTCAGAGGTACTGCTACCCTACTATAGTCCCGAATAAACCTCCTATAAAAGTTGGCAAAGCCCAGAAACCTTTGCAACTGCTTCCTGTTAGAGGGAGTGGGCCACTCGGTCACTGCTTGGACTTTGGCGGGGTCAGTCCTTAATTGTCCCTTGTCGAGAATAAAACCCAGGAAACTCACAGAAGAGGCATGAAACTCGCACTTCTCAGCCTTAACATACAGTCTGTTCTCAAGAAGTCACTGTAGTACCAGCCTTACATGCTGGACATGCTCCTGAAGAGTGCGAGAGAAGATTAGGATGTCATCAAGGTACACAAAAACAAACCTGTTTAACATGTCATCCAAGACATCATTAATCATAGCTTGAAAAACACCTGGTGCATTCGTTAACCCAAAAGGCATTACTAAATACTCAAAATGTCCCCGGGGAGTATTGAATGCAGTCTTCCACTCATCCCCCTCCTTTATTCTCACCAAGTGGTATGCATTGCGAAGATCCAACTTTGTGAAGATGGTGGCTTCATGGAGGGGGACAAAGGCTGAGTCTATGAGTGGAAGGGGGTACTTGTTCTTGACTGTGATCTCATTTAGACCTCTGTAGTCTATGCAAGGGCGTAGGGTCTTATCCTTCTTGTCCACAAAAAGTGAGCCTTGGTGTTGGGATCAGGAGGTCACAGGTTCAAACCCCACTGCAGTCAGCATGTCGTTGTGTCCCTGGACAAGACACTTCACCCCAAATTGCTCCTGTGGGGATTGCCAACAGTAATGAGTATGTAAGTCGCTTTGGATAAAAGTGTCTAACAAGTAACATGTAATGTAGTAACTGTGGGGGGTACAGCAGAGTGTAAGCAATGTGAGTGACAGAATAACTCCAGTTAACGATAGACGAGTTGGCCCAATCTATGTGGGGGTTATGGAGCTTCAACCACGGAAAACCTAAAACGAGTGGCGACATG